CCCCAAAACCCCAAAACCCCAAAACCCCATCAGGGATATCTCTTGTTGAAGTTAATATAATATTCAATAGAGGCGATTCCAGATCTGATACGGGAGGAATATAATAACCAGTAGATTATTTAAGAATCTCCTCTATCTCACGAGAGATCCTTTCCTTCTCGTCATTATCAATCACGCTCTCTCGGGGAGGTTGTTTCAGAAGCTCTGAGTTAAAATTTGATACAAAATATGGATCATTAGGATTTATAAATGGCTTGTAAGGAGGTTCAGCAGTCTTGGTCAGTAAAGAATCTATATCGACACTTGAGAAGAACTGATGAGAAAGAATATCATCCTTGTCATTCTCTGCCCCTAGCCTTTTGTTTTTATCTCTTTCCAATAATTTTGAGATGAGATCTTTCACTTCTTCTGAAGCGGATGATTCGGGAAATGTCACACCTTCCTTGTCAAATTTTATTTCTGAAAAGAGCATCTGTGACATGACTATTCCAAGAGCCCACCAGTCAATGGTATGATCATATTGTTGGTCATTAATAACTTCTGGAGCTTGGTACTCGGAGAGATTTAAGATACTCCCACTAATCTCATTTTTGTTCATCTTTTTAGAAGAGTCAAAATCCCCAATTTTGATATACCCATCACTACTGATCATAATATTTGATGTTTTAAGATTTCTGTAAACAACATCGTGCTCATGCATGTAGCCTAAAGCAAGAGCTAGTTGTGCTGCATAAAACCTCACCCATTCTTCCTCAAGAGTTTTGTTCTTAATGATTGTGGCTAATTCTCCTCCTTTCAGAAGATCGCTGATTAAATAGACTCTGAATTCATTTTGTATTGCAAAATCTATAGTTCAGATAAAGGGATGGTCAAGTTGGTCACTGAGTTCTTTCAGAATATCTACTGTCTTAAATCTTTTGACAAATATATCCCTCTTGATACTCTTAAGGGCATATAGCTTCTTGTTTTCTGTATGCTCTGCTAGATAGACCTTGCCCTGCTCAGTGCTTCTTAACAACTTCTTTAGTACAAAATCTTTAGCACTGATGTTGCCATATTGCTCCTTTTTAGAGTAGATAGTTTCAGATCTTTCACCGAAGAAATCGAAATCTTCATCATCTAGGTTAAAACTGATATCATTTTCTTCATCAGAGATTTCATCTAGGATCTTTTGCTCCTCATCGTCTTGAGAATCATCTGAATCATCGTCCCTTTTAAAATGTTTAATGTGAGTCTCTTCGTCTGTGTCAATATTTCCCATATCTGAGTTTGACTTTTTATAAACAGAGTTCTTCTTTTTGGAATCCTCTTTCTCTTCATAAGGAAGCATCTCTAACTCATCTGAGTCAATACTCAAGCGTGTTTTGACGGAAGTAGGGATTACTGAGTTGTTCCTCTCAAAAGCCATAGCCAGCCTCTCCTCCTGCAAGAGGAAGCTATCGTCTGGGATTTTATTATTTGACCTAAAGCCTTTGCTAGTTTTGGTGTACTTTCCAAGAGAACGATCTGGAACTCCATATATTACAAGATCAGATTTAGTTTCAGTCAGATAAGCTAATTTTAAAGCTTTGATAATTTCATCCCTTATAGTATCATTTTTAGCAGAATATCTGTAGTCGTACTCACTCGGGACATGAATGATGAACTCAGCAGAGCGAGGATTTAATGATTTAGTAACAGCTCTAAGGCTATTAACGTTGATGATTCTTTTCATGGATAAACCCGCCAGATCTGGTTTACCATTCTCGTCTAACTTACTGCGATCTCTTTTCAAGTTGATAACATATTTAGAAGTGATGCAAAGTATTCTATTTCTGCTGGGTCCAATATCTGTTGATCTTGTAGATTTCACCAGAGAAAAGCACAATGTCATTATTGACAAAGGTTTGAGCAATATAATTATCCGTAAAATGCATGTAGTCAGTACTTTGGGAACAATCCATTTTATGTAATAATATTTGGAAATAAATTATACACCTCTAAAGGGGTTTTGGGGTTTTGGGGTTTTGGGGTTTTGGGG